TTAAAAAATATGTTTGAATTCGTTCTTTTTGCTGGACTTTTGTTATGATGATCTATTCAAGATAATCGGAGAACAATCTTATTAAAATGCTCTTGTAATTTTTTTAGACACTTTCATAATGTATTGTCTATTTGCTTGGAAAATAATCAGCCAAATTGAAAGGTAGTTTTAAAAAATCGTGTTGTCACAACAAAATATCACAGTTTAAAAACAACAACTTTGAACACTAATATTCGATTTGTATTTGAAAATACTCAGATAGTTTTTATCAATAGTGGCTGATTAGGGAAAAGAAATTATCGTTTGAATACATCGACTATGGCAAATATTTGCTATGTATGTCTATTGATTGAATAAAAAGTAAAACGAACAATGAACTAATCAATTTATGTAAGCAACTTTGAATTTTATTCCAATATTGACATTTATTTAGTGTCTTTCATAGGTACAAGATACTTTTGTTAATCTTATTGAATTTTTTCTTTGAATGTTTTCATATCAAAATACATGAAAATAAGAAAATCAATAGAAAATTTTGTTTTAAAAAACTCAACTGAAATGAATGAACTTATTTCTTTCTGTAAAGCTGAATTTGAACGAAATTATTCATTCAATCGAACATCATCATGGTAGACAAGAAAATTTTTTCTTTATGAAATGCTAAATTAAGCTTTTCGAGTTCAAGAAAAACTTCTGTTTTTTGGTTATGTCAATTCGTTCTCCATAAAATTCATTATCAGTTAGAAGCAAGTAAATATTTATTACCAATTCGTACTGATTATGGTTCATTCGTTGTAAGTCATAACGAGTATAAATGCTAAAAATTCTCTCGAGACATTTATTTCTATTCATTTGCTTCGTTCTGAAATATTTGATCGAAAATTAGTTCTTTTACTTGCCATTGATTCAACTGCTGTCGATGATTTTAAACGAATTTTGTTTAAAATCGATGGTAATAATCATTTATATGATTTTGAAATATTTAGTAGCCTCAAATTTTTTGACTTGCCAATATTTGTCATAAATATCATGATACCGAAACGTTTTCTCATTGATTTAGTTTAGTTTCATAAGAAAAAAATGAATAGAGTCAATGAAATTGAAAATTAGTATCATCATTCGATTAAACTGTTATCTTAAAACGATAAACATATTATTAAACGTCAGAATATACTAAAAATTTTAGCTATAGGTAAAATAGATTACGAGAAAATTTTGAAACTAATAAACAATTTTTATATTGCATTTAATCATAGTAACATGAGTGAAAATAATGGTGAATTCAACATATGCATTAGAATTTTGTGATAAAACATTAAACATTTCAACGAAATCATTTTGTAATGATTATCAAGAGGTACGTACATGTAATAATAATATGGGTTTAATTTATCAAGAAAAAGAAAGAAAATAATGAAGTCCTTGAATATGATCAAAAAGACAATAACTATTCTTGAAAAATATCTTTCTACGAATCATTCTGATTTCAATGTAATAAATTATAGTATCAATGATAAACATCAATATTTCAGTCGTTAGGACAAAGTATTCGCGAATTATATTAAATCTCTTGAAATTGTTGAACATGCTTTCACTTGTTAATATCTAACAATTGTATCAGTGATGAGCAACACATAATTTTCGTTTATAACGAAACAAAAAAGATTGTCACAAACATTATTGAATGATAACAATAATAATAGCCTCACTATTATCTTTCATACATAGTTTTTGGTAACAAACTAGTGAACATTTATTCTTTTCAGACTAATATAAAATATGTCACATGTATTCGTACATTACGACACATTTCGGAAATGGAGTTTGAATTTAACCTACACATGTCTGTAATTNTATATAATCAAAAAGTAGTCATTAACCAGGAAAATGAAATATTTTTGAATTAATCACAAAATCAGTTGAAATAAATCGTTTTTTGAAACTTTTTATTCACATATGCGTTGGTAACCGAGCATCTACTAATTGCTTGTTCTTATTTTAGAATGGATGGGAAAAGGCAGAAAGGAAAAATGTCGAAAGGGAAAAATGTCGAAAATAAAAATGTCGAAAACAAGAATATGAGATAAAAATGAGCATGTAAGATTGAATTGAGGGTGAGGGAGACTTGTACTTCAATATACTCTCGTTTTCAGCATTTCTATCCATCTACATTTGTATTATTTTTCCCTTTCGATATTTTTCCTTCTGCCTTTTTCCATCATACCTTATTTTAGATAATAAGACTACACTTTCTAATCCGATATAATTTCTTTTTTACAAAAAGGAAAATCATCGTTGGTGATGGACATTTCATATTAAAGCTGAATAAAACCACCAACACCCTCTAGGATTTCATAATCGTCTAAACTCAAGATAATTAAAATCTCATACAAACATATGGACATTTATTAAAGGTATTCAAGGAGAAGAAAATAGGTTTTAATCACATAATGATTGAAATGAAGAGTGGTCTTTCAGGAAGACCAAAAACAACCTAACCACGTACTATACAGCAAAGTTTGATACTTTATCTTCACGTTATGAAAGTGGTGATATTGATACTAGTGAACTTTTCTACGGTTTATCATATGCTGTTTCTAAAAATATTGCATAAAAAAAAGAACCGTCATCACTTTATATTTAGTGACATTTTATTTAGATGTATGCTACGAATTTTCTTATTCTTTCTCTTTACTCAATAAAGTTTTTTTCGATCCTATACATAATTATTTTGAAAATGAGCTTGTTTTTTATTCCGACATTTTTCCTTTCCGATATTTTTCTTTTTCGATATTTCGTCTCTTCGATATTTTTCTTTCGATATTTTTCCTTTCGACATTTTTCTTTTCTTTCTTTTTCCATCATACCCTTCAGATGTTGTATTGCCCATTATTATTATCAACAAAGAAGAATAGGCGACGACGACGAATGATGTCGATTGTGATTGAACTGGAATATTCAATTGAATGCTTACCGATATTGACGGAAAAAAAAGAAGAAAAAAAGGAAGAAGCGAAGAATGAGAAAAAATAGTGACTACAAAAGTATTGCTTATTAAACTTTTATCATAAGATCTTCTTCGCTTTGAAATATGAGAATAAACGAAAAATTTATTTAGTAATAAACTTAATTAAAGACAAACAAGCTGATTTTATTTCAAGAAATTCTTTTGATATACGATAAATTAAATCTAATTTTCTTGCTATAGATACGGCATAAGAAAAAATGATTGACAGACTTTACATTCAAGATTACTATTAACTCGTATTTTGCGTATCAGGAAATAGAGATCAATAACTCTTTAAATTGTGCTCTAAATCTACCATTGTACTCATTGAAAACGCTAAAGTACTGATTAAATCAAAATAATCACCTAGGAAAGTATTTAAAAAAAGTAAGCTTTATAATTATTTGCGATTTTGCACTTTTTAATGCGATGCGGAATACAGCATTTATGTCGTCGGCCACATACGCATTTGGCCTCTATACTTTCTATATTTTTTGATATAAAAAAACCTGTACTTTGATCTAGAGAATGGAAAATCGCTAAAAATTCCTTCAAACTTTGCCGGAGAGATCTATATCTCGAGATAACACATACGTTTTGCAGTCTTCAATATAGACTTTCCTTCTTTTTCAGTAAGCTCAGCAAAACAGTAATTTTGACGATTTGACTTCTATCCTTTACCTAAGATAATTAAAATGAACATGGTATGAAAAGATAGCCACAAAATCTTCTGAACAACCGTGTGATCAGCTGATAATAGATAATGGATGACCTATAATAAGTCAGGTTAGGAAATATGGGCCGTTTCCGGCTGGAAAGCTCTGGCAGATGGTAGAATCTTGTAAGCAGGGTTCCGGCAATCAAATCTGTTGCCTGACTTTGACTGGTTGCGGTCAGTTCTGATGAAAGCTAGAAAAATCCGACCACTGGATTCCTGCTTCCAAGTTGCGACAATTTTCCGAAACTTTCCGATCGAAAATCTATAGATCCGTCTTCCACGATTATTGACCTAAGGAATGACCATAATTTGCATTTCATATTTTAATCTCTATATATGTTTTATTAGAAAACAAAATATATCACAAAATGCAGCATGAAAGGCTCTGCAAGCTGTGAAAATTATTCCATATAGTAAAATATAAGTTTGATTCCACATGTAAACTGAAATTTTCAATCATTATGAGTACGGTCATTAGCAGTAGCAGCACAACATCATTTGTGACGAAAAGTCTACTTTATTCTTTTCAAACAATAATAAGAAATTGTAAACTAGACAAACATAAATTGTGTTGCTATATACAAGCAATAACTAAATTCCATATTCACAAACAATATAATCATAAATAGACGAAACATCAACAGCATGACTCAGATGTAGAATGTGTATCTTAATAGTGAATAAAAGTAGACTTTGAGCGACAAATGATGTCATGTTAATGGTAATGACCGTACTCATAATGGTCGAAAATTTCAGTTTGTATGTATAATCAAACTTATGCTGCACTTATTCTTATATTTTACTATATGGAATAATTTTCACAGATTGTAGAGCCTTTCATGCTGCATTTTGTGATATATTTTGTTCTTTAATAAAATCTGTTTAGTAATTCAAATATAAAATACAAACTATGGCCATGTATTATGAATCAACCGTTAGCAGCTGATAACAGATAATGAGTAAGTCATGTTGATACAGTTCTTGTTGTAATAAATTTCTTCATGTCTTCATTTCAATTTCGTTTCGACTTCGATTGAAACGTACCTTTTTTTGTTTTGAATACGTCGACAAAGAAGCCTGACTTCTGTAAACTGTATATATCCGTTCGAAAAAATTGTTTGTGCACGGTGTCGTAGAAACGATTATTCGTTTGTCACAAAAAGTAGATTTTTCGATAATCGACATTTGAAGATAGAACAATTAAATAAGGCACAATAAGATTCTTTTTTTTTTTTATTCTTTGAAATTAAATAATAAAAATACTGACAACAAATATTAAAATTGGAATGTTGATGGTGTTTGACTAGAATATATATACTAAAAAAGAACAAAATAAATAAAGATTTTAACAAAGAAAATGCCGACTATTTGTTCTTGTAATAATTTAATTGTTTGTTTATCTTGTTCTCTTTCTTTACGTAATATTATTATTTTCTTGAATAAAACAAAATATTTTCTTTAAAAAAAATTCAAAACTATTTTTCTTACTTTAACTAAATCATCATAAAAAAGATTTTCATCAATTGAATTTCGCAGGTTACCATCATTGATACTTGATGAATAACGTCTTGAACTAATCATAGACTCATGAAATGAATCAATCATTGAATCCTATCATAATAAAATAAAACAATGAGTTCTTTTTTAAAAAATACTTACTGTCATGTTATTTCCATTTGAATGTTTTAATAATCGATCAAGTTGATGAAGAATTGTTTTCACAATCATAATATCTTTCATTACTTGTCGATAAGATTCAATATCCATTGTTATTTGTTCTGCATCTTCACGTAGTGATAATGAAGTCAATGATGGTTTTAAAGAAACCGAGCGTGTTAACATTCTTCTACAATATCAATATATCATTAAACCTCAATAGATTCTTTATTTCTCTTTACCAATTATGTTCCTTATCAATAATATTATTCATTCAATTACTCAATTGAATTAATTCATCAAGTGATTCTCGAAGACTACTAATGATTTTATCAACTGTTGAACATTTTGCTGCAGTAGCAGATGATTATTCTTTGGATATTGGTTGAAATGGTGTAATATTTGGTTTTGTTGTAGTGACCGGGTTTATCATTTTAGGTTGTTTATTTGTTTCACTTGATAATGAAATCGATGAACATGAATCTGTTCGATCACTTAAATAGAAAACAACAAAGCATTATGTATTACTTTTTATATACTAATATCGCTCATATTATATGTAAGGAAAAATCAAACAAATTTGATCTTTGTACCACTTTGAAGACACTGTATTTTCTCTTTCTTGAAATTTCAAAAAGAAAATTAACGAACACAGAATTGAATAGGAAACATTAGAAAATATCACTTTTAGAGCATGTAGTGGAATATATGACACTTCATGAGAAGCTACTCTAATAAGATAAATACAATATAATTTTTTTATGACAAAGTAGCTTGAAATAATGCTTTTCTTAAATCATATTGCGCTAACAGATAAAGAAACACATTCAACATTTCTTGAAAATAGTTCATTGTCAGCTGATGACATCCAATGATAATTCTATAAAATATATATGAAAAATATATCAAATGAACTAATGGACTAGAGTTTGACTGACGTCAAGTTTGGTTCACTTCATACGATCGGTAGGACATTAGGTGATTTATTCATGTTTCATATTTCTTCCATTTCCTTTGTTGGTCAATTATACAGATGACACAAAAGACGTGCATATATATATATCTCCTGCTTTCCTTCCTCTTCATTCAGATATTTTCCAAAACATTGTCTTCTCTGGATGCGAAAATAGTTCCAGGATTTTTCCTCGTCTTCATGTTTTCTTTTCTTTCTCGCATGTTTAGATTTTTTTGATAGATACGTTCTACATTAATCTGTTAGATCAATCATCCGTTAAGAGTTTACGTATAAATAGCGAGACGAATCTTTAATGGTATTATCCAACTATTTCTTAGAACTGACTTTGTGGTGTTAGGAGCATGAAGAGATAAGAAAGCTGCTAGAATACGATCTAGAATATAAATTTGTTTCGTTTGTTTCTTAAAACTTATTATTTTCAATTAAAAAGAGCGTCTTAGAAAAGAAGAACAGCATAAAGAAAAAAAACATGAAACGATATCATCCTTTTTGTTCTGTTTATCTGTGTGATTTTTAAAGTTTTTTTCTCTTAATATAATATGTGTACGTGTACAGAGAAAAGAAAATCGACCTGCCTCTATCGTCTGTCGTCAATTTTTTGTGATATTTTTAGGTTTTCTTTTAATGTGCCAATAAGAAACGAAAATAATTAGTCTCAATAGTTTTGATCACATTGTCAGCTCGCTCTCTTCACAGATATTAATTATATTCTGTCAACAATTAAAAATAGATTATAATTGTTAATATTTTTAATAAGCTAGCATCCATTCAATTTATTCGTCGTTCATTTCATACAATTTATCAATGAAAATGTTGTGTTCTATCTTATTTTTATTATTCTTCATCTTCTAATAAATGTTTTGAAAAAGATTAACAAGCATTATTACATGGTTTGTATATCTTAAAACATCGTGGTCCCGATAAAGACCACAATCTTTTTGGATTAATCAAGAGAATACAGTTGGCCTTGGTCATATCTGTCTAGCTATTATTCATCTTAGTAAACATGGTCGACAACCATTGCATTCATTTGATAAAAAATACATTTATCTATGAATGGTGGATTATATGATCATGATCGTACACGACAAGAAGCTATTGACAACAATAACGATTAATTTACAAGTAAAAGTGATAGTGAAATAGCTATACATCTATATCGAAAATATGATTTAAAATTTGTGAATTATTTAAGAGGAGAACTTGCTAGAACAATGTATGATGAACAACGAAAAGCATGTTTATCAATTTTGATATTATAATGGAAATTTATATACAAATGTTTATTGCCGTACAAGATCGATTTGGTATTAAACCATTATATTATACTTATTATGAAAATAAATTATTATTTGTATCAGAAATTAAAACATTATTTGTTTTTGGATAATTTCTCAGACTAACGTAGTCTTAATAAATTTGTCTATTATTTCTTAGTGCTCCAGCTATTTGAAATGAAGATGTCATATACAATATGGGAGAACTTCGTAGTTTACACACAATATATAAAAATATTCAACAATTATTACCAGGTCATCTATTATTAGCTGCCGATAATGGTACGATCAATAAATCAAAATATTATGATTTAACTAATATAACTCTTGAAGAATTGAAAAACAAGAAGAACGTACAGAACAAGAAATGATTGATTCTGTATGTGAACCGTAATTAGAAGCTGTTCATCTTCGTATGAGAGCTGATGTTACAGTTGTTGTTTATTTATCGAGTGATTTAGATTCATCTGTATTATTAGAAACTAAGTTTACGAATAAAACCAATTAGTACTGATTCAATATCATTTAAAGATCATCATCATTTTAATGAACAAAGTTTATTTATTCGTACAAATAAATTTTTAGAAGAAAAAACACGATCATATATCGTAGAATTACAACACAATGAATTAGTTGATGATATGGATGAGATGTATATATCATTATGAATATCCATTAGTACAAGTGAGATCAGTAGGAAAATTTTTATTGCCAAAATTATTTAATGATAATAAAGGAAAAGTTGTTTTGACTGGTGAAGGAAGTAATGAAATATTTGCTGGGTAAATCTCTTGAATTTACTATGAAGAGTTTTCTATTGAATGATATTGAGTAGAAGTTTTAGTCAGGCTTCATATTTAGAGATGCGCAGTATGTATGTAAATATTGAGAGTGAGTAGCCGACACAGGATCTACTGGTGCACTGATCTTTAAACATGCCCTTTTTGTAGTGGTGTGTTCAAGTTCTTCAGTGTACCCTGACTATACTGTTGGTGATGTCGATAGTCAGTAAACTGAAATTACACATTTCTATCCATATTATAGTATTGAAAAATAACTTACTGGAATTTTGACATATCTAAGAAATTTCGAAAGGAAATTTTAAATTTCATGTAATCAGTTTTCATACTAAGCAATTAAATATAATGTTTTTTTCTTCTTTGTTTTTAGTTATTCTTTTTTTCGTCAGGATCATCTTCTTCACGATATTCAATATGATTCAATAGTTAATACAGGATTTGATGAAGAAGAACGTCAACATTTATTAAAATCTTTATTATCTAATCTATTGAGTAGTTTAAGTGATAAAAAAATAAGTTACATGAAATGGATGTTATACAAACAATTGGCTATGTACCATAGGATACAAAGCCATCATCTGTATTTACACAAAAAATATTTTACGCAACAATTATAAGAAAAATATCGAGATTTTCCTGTATATAATTTTTATTATAATCAATCCTATTAATATAATTATCATATAAAACAACAAATGCATAATTACAAAATAACACCTGCTCATTCAATGGAAGAGTTGTCCATAAAAAAGTCTTCTTAATCAACTTTTACAAGTATTTGGTGATTGATCAGAAATTAGATATTCTGTTGAAAGGCGTTCACCACATTTAGATCATTATTTAGTTGATTATGTTAATCATTTACCAACAAATATGAAATTAAAATTAATTAACGGTAAATTATTAGAAAAATATATGTAAAGACAAGTCGGACGACCACATATAACCGATGAAATACATCAACGAGAGAAGCATCCATTTTTAGTCTCAACAAAATTTTTAAATCAAAATTCAAAATTTTATCAATATATACAAGATATATCAAATTCAAAGGATATGAAAGATTTAGATTATATATTGGATATTGAACAAATACGAAATAGTTTAAATTAATTACATAAAAGACAAAAAGAAATGGATAATAAATTACAATTGAAAGAATAAGTTTTGAGAGATCTTCATTAATGAACTCAGAAACGAAATGGTTTGTTTTTCGTGTCTTTTGACAATTTCTATCAATCAAGAAATTGATTTATTTTAATTATTTATTCGAGTGATTTATTATAATTGGAGATTATAAAAAAAAGAATTGTTTGAGATTAAATAATAGAATAAACCATGATAATAATTGATTTTAATGAAAAATACCTTCAATGGATTTACGAAGTGATGAAAATCCGTGCGACGCTTTATTTCCAGTTTTCTTGCTTTTATCAGCAGCACCTTGAGCAAATTCACGAGTTTTTCCGGTTACTGCATCTGTCGCATCCTTCATACCATCTGTAGCTGCAATAACAATATAGATATTGATATGATACGAAAAAGTATAATTTTATCAGAAATGTCTGAACCGATATTTGGTTCGTTTCTTATATATATATATATATATATATATATATATGTGTGTATGGAATGATTTATCTGTGTAATATTCTTCAGTTTTTTCAGCTGCCTTTTTCTTGTTTCATCTCAAACTTCGTTAGTAAGGTTCCTTTTTGATTTAACTCTACCTTTAACTTTTAAATAATGATCAGTCAATTGCTATAATACTTTCCTATTTCTCCTATTAGTTCATCAAAAGAAAAAAAAAAGGAATTCTTAACATCAGTCACAACTTTTCTCGCATTTTTTCCCGTATCTTTAGCTTTATCAGTAGTGTCATTGGGTGTTTTTCACTGCTAAATCCCTATTGGAGAGTATTTATGTACTCTCAGGGGGTCTGGTGCTACTTGCGGTGCTGGAAGGGCGTCCCCTGGGGTCCAGGAGCCACTATGTTTCATTCTTGGGCTAGTCACCCGAGTATAGGATGTTAAACAATATCTGACTACAGAAAATGAACAAACCAAACTTGTTACTACAACCAGAGTGACACTATTTGGATCATGGAATGTCAGATCGTGTTATTGGGTCACTAAGCGCGAACTCATTGTTGGTCAGTTAAAACAGTATCAAATTCAGGTGGCGACACTGGCTGAAACAAAAATACCGGATTCGGGTGTTTGTGTGGTAAATGGATATACGTTCATATATTCAGGTTCACCTTCTCAATTATTATCGAAATCTGCACACGGCGCAGCCGTATGTTTGTATCCTGAAGCTACTTGTGCTTGGAAGAACTCAGGTTCTCAATGGGAAGCAGTGAGTTCAAGAATTGTAACTGTCCGTATTGAGTGTCGACCTGTACCAATCACCATCATAGCTGTTTATGCACTTATAAATCCCTCGAATGGGGTAAAAAGTGATATTGAAACATGTAACGAGTTCTATAAAACTCTACAAGCAACAATAGATAAAACTCATANTACGACAACACAAGCATATGAAAGTTCATCTGAATCGGATAATGAAATGAAAGTTGATCAATCACATATTCAAAGAAAACCGATCGTTCGACGAAGTGTTCGTTGGGTTGAAGAAAAAGTTTATTGGGATGCTAAGGATGCTCAAAATGCAATTAAACATGAGAAGCGGTGGAGTAAATATTACACCAACAAAAGTCGTGATGGAATAATAGTGTATTATCGCTGTAATCAGGTGCCATTTCGCGGCAAGCAATGCGATGCAGCAATACATCTCTATTACCCAAATGATAGCAATGAAGTATTATTGTTTCGTACAGACAATGAACACGAACACGCAAATTTAACTCAGCGCAAATGTTTTTCTGAAGAACTTATACAGCATATTGATGAATTATTTGGTTTAAAACTGAAGCCGAAGAAAATATCTGAAGTTTTACGAAAAAAAAATTTATGATTACATCTAATCAATTGAAAAATTAATTGATGCAACTGCATAAAAAAGAAATATGGTGCTTCAACTATAAGCTTAGGAAACTTAGAAAATTCATGTGCTGAAAACTCTACAGTACCACAATCTGAAGATGAAACATTTGTTCTTTCTTACCATGTGCAATATGAAGATGATATTGATGATAATGAGGACGCAATGGATGGTGAAAATAAATTTAGATTTTTTATAACAACGAAAAGGTTATTGAAAATCGCTTCTATTTCAATACGAATACATGCAGACGTCACATACAAACTCAATTGGCAAGTATTTCCTGAATTGATAATAGGAGCAACTGTTTTTGATAGAAAATTGGATACATTTAGATTGGCAGTTCCTAGTAATGAACAACAACAAGATTTCGAATTTAATTTCAAAAGCATTCCCAACGGTGTTGATCAAATAGTTCAATCGAAATTCATGCCTGAAGTTTTAATAGCTGATGGTTCTGATGCCATACGGAATGCATTTATGACAACATTTAACAATGATAAAATTGTGATGTGTTGGGCGCCTATGCGACGACATGTTGATAAAAAGTTAAGTAATGTTAGTTTCAGACAAGAGATACTAGATGACATCGACAAATTAGAATTGTCTGAATCAGAAAAAGTCTTTAACTAAGCATCATCATTGTTTGTTAAGAAATGGAGCCAAAGGAACATGACTTTTTACAATACTTCGAAAACGAATGGTTACAAACTTTTTCTTCTTGGTATGAGTGATACAATTACTTCACACCTAGTACTAACAATTCATTAGAGGCAACCAACAGAGTGATCAAAGATGAGCACACGTTTAGAGAACGACATCCATTATCAAGATTTTTTGTAATAGCAAATGACATCGTACGTATATGGTCTAAATCTCGGGATTCGAACCAAATGGATTCAATTATTTATTCATCAGAGCCAACAATTACATTAAAAAAAGCTTGTTAGCGCAGTCCCTTTGGGGCTAAAATGTGGAACTCACATATGTTCTTCAGCTTCGTTATATTAATACAAAATACAGAAAGTGTAAAATCAAGATTTTTTTATTTTTCATTTTCTGACGGGCGCTCTATTTTTCGTTTTCATTGTTACTATTCACTCATTATTTTTTTTCGTATTTTTTTTTGCATAATTTTTTTAAATTTAATTCTATTATCATTGCAATCCTTTATTCAACCAGTAAATATGCCTCTTACACATATACATTTAACCTACAGCAAATATCAATGAACTATTATATATCTCGATCAAGTCACAACATTAGCACTGAGTGAGTTTTTTCAAATTAGTAACTTGATCAATCGATGATTTCTTATGATCGTTGATGTCTTAAATACATTCTTATGTAGACAAAAATCCAAAACTGAACTTACAGGAATACTAGTATACGAATGATATTAATTTCAACTTTTGCACAATACTCTGGCTTATGCCAAGAGTAGTCAAAATTTCTTCTCATTTTTTACACTGATTTTTTTTCTACTATTGCATTAAAAAAAAAAAATTTTTTTTTTTCTGGAGTTGCTATGGTCTGTAAGGGGGGGCTGTCTGTAAGGGGGGGGAGCCGCGAAAACTCGAACTTAAAACTTACACTCACTATTTTCTTCGAAAATATATGTGAGTTCCACAAAAAGGGACTGATGCTTATCATTTCGCTAAATCGTCGAAGTTGGTATTACAAATGCCATCGAGCCGAAAAGGTGCTATTGATTGTTATATACCAGCTGGTGAAGTGCAACATATTACACAACATGATATTCAACAATACAAGAAAAAAATCTGGAACTCCTTTCATAAATTCAAAATTCTTCAATTCGGTATATGGGTGTGGATGTGTGTGGGCGTGAAGAAAGAAAAGAACAGTCCACACCCACACCTTAGCCTCACACAGATCTTTTTTACTTAAAAATTATGACAAAAACAGTTCACTATTTTTATTGTCTACGTATATACTCTGTCACATAAAGCAAATCGAAATAAATGTAAAGAGTAAGACCACAGGAATATGTATAAGTTCTAAGCACTTGTAAATGCAATGCATAATTCAAGAAGGAAAATTTAAGAAACTCTTCCTGCGAAAAACGATTGCAATATAAAACACCATGTAATGAGTTGATGATCATTAAAAATACAACCACACGTAAAATAAATTTAACGAAAATTTATGAAGTTTTCTTCATTAATGTTTATTTTATTTTTACATGAAAACTGCATGGAAACTAACATTGGCTGCGAAAAAAGCATCTTGATTATTTGCTCTTACGAGAGAATCTCTTCAACTGATAATTTCCGTTTGAGCTCATAAATACTTTTCTAATTTAGAAAAATAAGTTTTCTTTTTTATTTAAGTCATTTTAACATCTCATTCGTTATGATTTGTGTTATCACAAAAGATCATGCACGTCGTCTTCTTCGATAACGCACTCTGTCGTCTTTCTTGTCTTTTTCATTTCTCATCCTCTACATATAAACTTATATATTCCATTTTCATTGGATTATATAATACTATATCGGTAGGTTTTGTTATTTTTTTCTCTTATTCATTATCACTGTTATGGTTATTATTGTTAAGTGTGCATCGTGAAGCTGCAATAAAAACAAGTACTGAAATAGCTAGAACTGCACATGCATCTTACTATCAATGAACGCTAAGCATTAGGTTTATAAAAATATTTTTCTTTTTTTGCTTTCTTTAGTTCATTTCAACATTTCAATACATAGTAAGTATTATTCAATAAGATAATTTTTTATCTTTTCATTGAAGTCATCTGATCATCACAATGAACGCGTAAGTGTCATTGTACAATCATGTTCGTTTTTATTTATAGAGTTGTGCATAATCTTTTACTAGGGGCGGTAGCACTATGATTTCAAGTTGAATATCTAGCGAGTTTCATATCAAATTAAAGGGCGTCGAAAACTGTATCGATTGATATTAAATAGTAAGAGTTATGCAAAACCTTTTAATGTCGAGTTTATGGAATTTTCAAAACATTTGATGCGTTATTGGCATAGAAAATTAAGGCATCTATAATTCAAATATAGAATAAAATATTTTCTTTTGATATTTCTATATGGTTCGATAGAGTTCCTCGAGCTCCACCAAACTACATTTACATTAAAAAAATTTAAGTCATTTTTATGAAATAAAAACTTAAAAAACTTTGCAAAATCCTGGAAATGTTTAAATTTCTTTTATATGATAGAAGAATACTCGATTTTTTCAGTAAAATTAGCTTTTTTTTACTATGTTTACTGAAAAAGATGTTTCGAACTATACTCATCACAACCAGTATATCAGGCTGCATCTGATGAATGTATGTTGAAACTTCTTTTTCAGTAAACATAGTAAAAAAAAAAGCTAATTTTATTGAAAAAATCGAGTATTCTTCTTTCATATAAAAAAAATTTAAGCATTTCCAGGATTTTGCAAAGAGTTTTTTTAAGTTTTTATTTCATAAAAATGACTTCAATTTTTTTAATGTAAATGTAGTTTTGTAGAGCTCAACAAACTCTATCCAACCATGTAGAAATATCAAAGAAAATATTTATTCTATATTTGAATTACTAACGCTCTAATTTTTTATGCCAAAAACGCATCAAATGTTTTGAAAATTCCATAAGTTCGACTTTAACAGGTTTTGCAGAAATCTTACTATTGCGTAACAATCAATCTAGTTTTCGATGCGCTTTAATTTGGTATGAAACTCACTAGATATTCAACTTGAAATGATAGTGCTATCGCCCTAGCAAAAGATAATGCACACCCCTGCAGATTGTTCGATCGTCTCTCAATTAATCGTAAATATTATTTTATTTCATTTTTTGTCTTATTTTTTGCGAATGGAGAGAACGATATCATGTCTTATTTGTGAGCAGATGCGTCAACTTAGTGAATGTGGTGTTAGTATCAGTTTAACGGTAATTGTATGACCACGTTTGATCATCGGAAAACGATGATATCTTTTATATTTTTTGTGAAATGTTATCTCTTAATTTGGAACATACTTTTTCTTATTTGAGTTAAAGGGCTCTATTCAAACATAGCACAATATCAGATTTTCTCGGCAATGTCAAGTCTTCGCAATTAGAAAGGTAAGCATTTTCATTCACAGTCGTTTGATGCATTTGAGTTACGAGAGATTGAAATATATACAATTGAACTATGGTCATTTCCGTGGTTTTCATTCATTTTCTATTTATTGTATTGGTATTGCTTTTTATTACAAATTCTAGTCTTAGTTCGACAATTAATTATATTTTACTTTCGAAAAAGTATTGTTTTATTCGTAGTTGTTAGAACAGATTTCTGAATAGGAATGGAAGTTATTTAGATTAAAGATTTTGAAAATTGTTTTTCAAGAATATTTAAAGTTATGTAGTAATTAAAATTTTTGGTTTAAGTTTTTCTCATTAGCACAATAGTTATATACTCAATCATATTTAAAATCTTACTGACATAGAACGACGAAATATCAATCAAAATGACTTCACGACTACAAATATATTTGAAAAAAAAATTTCAAAGTATCTGTAGTAATTAACAGTCGTTGTCTTTTTAAAATCTGTGGTAACATTGAAAAATAACATCACAACTTTTTTGAAAGTAAAATATATTTAATGCCTGTCCAAAAATTAAATAGCGGTCGGTATTTTGAAAATAACTCCAGAACGAAAAGAACAAGAGAGCTGCGGTTTTCACCATTAAGTAGGCATATGAGTATTCTATATATTAGATAAGACATGCAGAGAATCATTGCAAATTCAAAGTTTCATCAGTGCCAATCTTTCAAAGAACATCTCACAGGTTTTTATAGTTCTGAATAGACCTATATATCTAAAATATAAAAAAGGATAGCCCAAATGTTTATCTACAAAATGACACAAGGCCTACCTCTCTAATTTTTGTCGTTCTCAAATAACATTCATTTTCCTGGAATCTATGCTTGTCCTTTTTTACAATAGGATAATATGCAAGTATTCGTAATAAAAGTACATTGTTGATGATAGTTTCTTCTGTAAAAGTGGTTCTTCTAGATCGTGAACAGCTTTATTAATGAAGAATGAAGTATTAAACTATGTAGAACGATCATAAATTTAAATTATTTCATTGAAGTATAAAAATATATAAAAAAGCAAAAAAACGCATAATTTTATCGATAGTAACTTATATAAGAAAATGTGTGTTATATTGAGGAAGACGAGCCTTTAATCCTTGTGTTATATATTTATTTAGTTTGCGTCATCCCAGTCACGCAACGTTAGTCTTCTAAGCATCGTTGATTTGTTTTCTGAGTAAGAGTTTTGGTTCTCTAGAACTTTTCTAAAATACCAGCATAAAAAAATAACTATTGTAGTGAACTTATTAGCGAATGTATTGAGTAACTCTGGTGTTCTAAAAGTACACTTCTTGTATAGGTCAACAATATTGATAGAAGGCACGTGACACGGTGAAGACAAGAGAAGTGATATAAATTAATGCGATNGTATTTCGATGGAAGTGCAGTACACATTCGAGTTCTCCATATCTGAAAACCTCGAAGTATCATCAGTGTGACCGGAAGATAAAGCTCTATTTGTGGATCCATTAGATCGTGGACCAAAATATAACCTAGTTCTCTTTAATTATCCTTGTCTTAAGTAAGTCAACCTTCTTGTTTCTTTATGTTTTATATATCATTTTGTAGCTCTTGAAATTCTCTATCGAATTCTATATAATAGTTGGGGTTTTAATTGACTATGATAGGAAAAGTCTTTTACGAAAGTCGCGATGGGTCCATTTTTCCACAGAACGCTGTAGGGAAAAATGGGTATTTTTGCAATAACTCAGGAACGGCTCGGTCGATCCTTCTAATCTTCTGACTCGACCGAGATATTATCAAGACTAAGCTGTGTAGAAAGTTTCATCGCAATCTGACTCTGCTGTCAAAAGTTATCATGTAAACAGCCAACCGGACGGACGGACACACTGACTGTTCTATAGTGTACTCACTTTTTGAGTACACAAAAAATATGTATAAAATCTTTGCGGAATGAGAAGAATAGTCTAAAAGCAATTTCTGAATTTTCGAGAAACATCTTCGAGTTCTAAATTCAAATAAAACAAACCTTTAATAAATGTATATCCAGGATGTTCAATAAGTTCTTGCTTTTTCTTCGTTGGATCAAGTTCAACGAGTTCTTCTGGTGAGAATATTTTGTCTACCAATTTCAATGCGTACAGGTTTTTTTTGGTTCTATCACCAGAAATAAGTAATGCATTAAAAAATGTTTTACCATCGTCAATCGAATACGGCTACAGAATAAACAAACATAGTATTATAATCGATTACAGGCGTGATCTTACCAATTCCGAAGCAAAAGTATCCTCACTATTGATTGATTCAGAATTAGTTACTGATAATGTTGAATCTTCAACATCTACGTAGATCTGAAACGAAATAAGATAGTGAAAGTCATTAGAACCACTAAGAATTACTTTATGCTTCAAAAGAGCTTTCTTAATCTTTTTTTGATTTTCAAGAATAAGTAATTGAGTTTGCTCGTGTTGTTCATGATAAGATTTAAGTTGTTCAAACATTTGTCTGAAGTATTTTCCATCAACTTCAATACGATCCAGTTTATTCGTAACATTCTTCTGAAAACACGAATAGTTATAATCATCTTCGTCATCATCATTATCATCATTTTTTTCTTTATTAATATAATTTTTTGTCTTATTGTTGTTTTTGGATCGTTTGGCTAATAATGATATTGTCTAAAATATTAAAAAATGCACAATAAAATTTATTGAGATAATTAATCTTGATTGTATAATATCTGTCATTTTTTTTCTTTTTCTCTCATTGACTACACATAGATTATATTCAACTGATTCTTTCCTTTACCATGTTAGCGTGCAATTCATAGAGAAATTTCCCCTATTCAACATTACCGATTTATTCCATCAGATGGTCTTTATTTGTTGCGTCTGTTTCTATATCAAGAACTTTTTTCTCCATTTTCAGATTCCCTTTAACTTCTTCATTATTTTCTGTATGACGTATATAAGTTTTAGTCTTTTATAATATGTTTGAATTATTTTACTCTTCCTTTTTTTTAATTTAATTTTATTACAACATTTTGAAGGGCATGTCCTTCTTCGTCGAGTGTTATAAAAAAATGAATTAAATTTACAAAATTAGAACACACGTTTATATATATGCAAATACATTAAATTGAACATTCTTTTTTAATTTGTCATTTTTCAATCTTCAATAGTGAAACAGACGACAAAAAGGCGATACCACTGAATCGGAAAGAAAATATATAACCCTTTTGTTTCGTCGTCTGTTTCACTATTGAAGATTAAAAAAGGACAAATTAAAAAAGAATGTTCAATTTAATGTATTTGCATATATATAAACGTGTGTTCTAATTTTGTAAATTTAATTCATTTTTTTATAACACTCGACGAAGAAGGACATGTCCTTCAAAATGTTGTAATAAAATTAAATTAAAAAAAAGGAAGAGTAAAATAATTAAAACATTTTATAAAATATTATGACCTTCCTAAAAATCACTGAATTTTAGTCTTTTTTTCATCTAACAGAGTAATGATGTAGAGAAAACAAAAACAAGGCTTGAGGCCTCCGAAAATTTTATAAAAATTCCACGTTCATCAAGCGATATAGCTCAAAGGCTTCAAATAACCAGGTAGGTTTTCAAATAATTTCATAAGACTTGAAGAGAGACTGTATTCTTTCTCCTTCGACCTGTTTGTTCATAACCGAACAACAAGATTCAAACTTTTATTCTCAAGTCTTGAATGCGCTATTTGAAGAGCTGTTCTAGGCGGTACCTTTGATATACTTACAGACGAACTTCCTTTAAATGCCCTCTTTGTTCCTGGTGTTAATGGTGTTGGTTGTGACGACAATAATAATTCATCAGATGCATCAGCTTCATCTACACTTTCGATGTTATCAACCGCTGAAGTATCAAGTACATGTTTATCCAGTAAATCATTGAGAGCATCAACTAAAAACAAGACATTGTTGTATTCTTAAAAGTAGAAAAATTTGTTTTAAACCGAGAGTACTTCACTCATTTTTATCATCCTTATTTCCAAAGAAAAGATGTTACCTGATACTTGTGATTCTGTTGTTTTTTTTCCATGATCTAATTTTTTTTTTCGAGTCAAAGTATCTAAAAATGGAATTATGTTAGAATTAGATTTACCAAGAAAAAGTACCAGCAACTGAAATTGAACTTTTTGATGTATAAGATGTTGCTATCGAATTTAAAAATGATAAAGAGAAACACAAATCAGTTGTCAAGATATGAAATGCAATACATACTTTCAGTTATTTTTGAGTGGCTGTTGGAAATCGATGATGATTGATTGTTATTAAAGTTCGGAAATATTCGACCAGCTAAACCAGTCTTAAAAAACACATGATGTGTTTTACTTGTAGTAGAAGACGAATGAGACATGGTGAAAACTCTATAAAGAAACAAAATCAAATAAATAAAAATATTATTTTCATAGAATGTATTAGTCGTGTTCAAAATCATTTCTTATTTCTGTTATACAAAAACAATCTTTAAATGGCACGGATATACATTTATATCTGACACGCGACATAGATATTATTCCAAATGAGTTCGATTTGAGTTGCATTGAAAATAAACGATCAAGAGGTTCACTAATTTTACAAGTATCATTCTTCGACAGCTTCATTACAGACGATAAACGATTTGCTTGTGCTTCTTCTTGATATTTTCTAATAAAAGCAAAATAATTCTTATTAAATTCAAGAAAAACAATACAATCAGCAAAAAGAATAGTATCACTATATTTATGTCTATAAGAAATAACATGACTAACACATTTAAATGGTTTATCATATAATGTTGAATGAAACGTAATGAAGGGAATCTTGAATCGCTTGTAAAATTTAACCGTGCAAGATCCGAGAAGTGTACTTAAGATTGGTCGAAATTCCTCGAGTAATTCGTTTTCGAGCAATATTTCATCAACACCGCGTGCTTGTTGAACGTTTAATTCAGGTATTTTAATGATTGCAGTCATATCCGTCCAGTATCCAATTTGTGAAGCAAGGTGGCGACTGCCATGCGCCTTTTTTTTCACATACCTAATACAAGATTCAAATGCAAAGGCCGATGTAAATGATAATCCACCATGATGGCGTACTTGTTCGGGTAAATGAAGATGACTGTGAAGACTATATAATTCTATAGATGGACCATAAATAAGCGATGATGACTGGCAATAAAAATGCAATAATTGTTCTGCTAGATCAATCTCCCTATCATTTTCGGGTACATGTAGAAGTTTAATTGCTAATACATAAGCAGCAAAATGAAGCAGATGCGGTGCAGACAATACATTAATCAAAATCGGGAGACCAATATACAAAGTGAAAAGACGGCCGTGTTTAGCCTTCCATTTATTAATTTCATTAATAGAAAAGTCAAATCGAACATTGAAATTGTGAGGGATTTTCTGTCTTGCCAACTTATCATCAATTAACAAAACATCAGCTGCTTTCATGAAAACTAGCCAGTGTTTAACTAATGTTGAAATATGATTAATGCACACAAGGTGCATATAATCATAAAGAACACCAATTGGATACTTAATGATAGATAGCAATGGTGACATACCTCGAACTCCATCAATGACAACCTCATGGCCAGCTCGATCACCTTCGGAAGTTGCTGATTGACCGGTACGAACAAACTCATCATGTGTCCGAAGTGTATTTTGGTTCTTCTCATATGGATACATCGTCATGTGACAATTTGAATCATATTCACCTAAAGCAGAAGTAAATAGAGAAGGCTTCTTTTTTTTTTTATAAACGAGTGGCGAAAAAAAAACTCAAAAATTCAACAAGTGTTAGTTAACTCACCAGAAGACAAGCACCACGTACAAGCAAACTTTCCATTAAAGTTTATGGTCTTCAAGAAAAGTGATTTAGCTGGAAGATCAGCAATGAAACCTTGTATCCGAACTATAAATCGATGCTGTTGTCCATCCAATAAAATCATTGTACCATATTGCATTAGAGTTTCCAGTTGTGCAATAGTACCGTGAAGAAATTTATCAATATCCGGTTTTTTTCTACTCGACCATAATGATAATGTCAAAATATTACGTTGGTAATAACGAGCTGGTGGAGGAATCTCGATCAAACTTGCAAATAATGGCCACAGGCTTTGACGTGAGCTACGGACAAGTGGGGATCCATCAGCATGTAATATAATTGTTAACATGCGGTCCTAATCAGAAACGACAAATAGGAAAACTATTTTTATTATACAAATGTTGTCGGAATTCGCATCTGAGAGGAATGATAGAAGCGATGGGCTAAATTCAGGAAAAGAACTATAGCCAATAATGCCTAAAATTTTTTATATGCTCAATCACATTTTTTGAATTATTGCTGTAATTCAAAACAAAAAAAACATTGCATGTAACTTAAACTAAACAATTGAAAAGAAATGTTAAAAAACATTTTACTTTTGCCTTACTTTATTTTCTTTACTGTTTTTAACATAATTTGAATAATTAACAATATCCCCCATAGGAGTTAACATTTCATTTGCAAAAATTAATTTCTGATTTCGTCTAACAATTTCATGAAGAGCAGAACGAATATCCATACTAACTATTTCGGTCACACGACTGTTTACCAAGGCTTGACTGGAAAATAAACAATTAGAATTTGTACATCGCTTTGAACCACATCTGATGGTCACTGTATCACTACCACAACGTTCACATAAGTACTTCGTTGAAAATAAAGATGTTACACCAAAAACTTTTAGCAGTTTCCTATGTGTTGTTGGTAGACTATTCGGTTGGGGTAATAAAGACTTCACAAGTTTCAATAACTTGGTTGTTTGTTGCTTGTCAAGATTTGCATCCATCGCAAACCGCATGATGGATGTTGTAGCGGATACAACCGTGTGACGACTGCTCACAAAAAGCGGAGCAGAGTTATCAGGAATATTCATACCTTCATTATTTTCATCATCATCTGGCATATAGTCCATTAAATTCATAGCATTAAATGTCGTGGTGTTCAAATTATTTTCATAAGAAGTTGATGCTTCCAAATTTGTACCATCACCATCGAAATCATCAGAATCTGATGATGAACTAGCAGAAGGAAGAACATTTGCTTGTCTTCTTCTTTCAGCACGTTTTTCTCGTTGAGAAATTATTCTGTTTGAGTAGTAATTTTCCCCAGACATAATATAACAAATAATTCAAGAATATCTAAAAACAGGAAAAACAAACACCTGATAAACAATAACAAAATATATATCTACCACAGAAAATTATATTTTTCGTAATGAAATATATCTTCAACAATTTAAGAAATGAATAAATATCTGAAAAAAAGAACAAAAATTAACTCTATACATATATAAAATAACAGATATTTACCATTGGCAATCATGTATTTAGCAATTAAACTTATTGTTTAATAATAATTTAACAAATAAATAAATATCTGGAAGAAAAAAGAAAAATATTCTTTAGATACAATTAAAACAATATATATTCACCAACGAAACTAGTTGTCCAAGAAGAGTTTAACAATAAATGTCTAAAAAAAAGAAAAGAAATATTCTATAAATATAATAATAAAATATAGGTTTACCACAGAAAATTATATTTTCTCCAACCGAATATATCTTCAACAACAATTTAACAAATATCTAAAAAAGAACAAAAATTATTCGATACAATATATAAGAAAACTGATATTTACCGCAGAAAATAATGTATTAAGCAATTAAACCTATTGTTCAATAACAATTTAATAGATAAATGAATATCTGGAAAAAAGTTCTATAAATATAATAAAATATATATTTACCAACGAAACTGATTGTCGAAGAAGAGTTTAACAAATAAACGTCTAAAAAAAGGAAAAGAAATATTCTATAAATATGATAATAAAACATAGATTTACCATAGAAAATTATATTTTCCCCAACCGAATATATCTTCAACAAGATTTTGACAAATGAGCAAATATCTACAAACAGAACAAAAAGTTATTGTATACATATATAATAATATATATATTTACCGCAGAAAACAGTATATTTAGCAATTACACCTATTGTTCAACAACAATTTAACAAATAAATGAATGTCTGAAAAAAAAAGAAAAAAAATGTTCTGTAGATATATTAAAAAAATATACATTTACCAACGAAACTTATTATTGAACACGAGTTTAACAAATAAATAAATGTCTAAAACAAAGGACAAAATGCTGCAGTCTATAAATATACTAACAAACATATAATTACCAGCAAAAATTATATATTTATCAACGAAACTTATTATTAAGCAAGAGTTTAACAAATTTCTAAAACAAAGGAAAAAAATACTTTACTCTATAAATGAAATGATAAAATATATATTTACCAACGTAACTTATTGTGGAATAGCAGTTAAACAAATATCTAACAACAGAAAAACTATTCTATATACATAATAATAGAATATAGATTTACCACAGAAAATTATATTTTTCTAAACCGAATATTTCTTCAACAAAAATTTGAGAACTGAACAAACATCGAAAAAAATAACAAAAAATTATTCTATCCATACATGATAATATGTATATTTACCACAGAAAATTATGTATTTAGCACCAAAACCTATTGTTTGATAATAATTTAACAAATAAATGAATATCTGGAAAAAAAAAGAAAAATGTTCTACAGATATTATAAAAAATTAATATATTTACCAACGAAATTGATTGTCGAAGAAGAGTTTAACAAATAAATACCTAAAAAAAGGAAAACAAATATTGTATCAATATAATAATAAAATATAGATTTACCACAGAAAACTATATATTTCCCAACCGAATATATCTTCAACAACAATTTCACAAATAAACAAATATCTGAAAAAAAGAGAAACGTTCCATAGATAGGTGGAAAAGGAGTTTTTGGTGAAACTAATTTCCAAAAACGAAAATATATCATTTAGGTTTTCAACAAAAATATTGATTATAACTAATAGCATACTTTCTAAATGCATCTTTAAATGGACTGTTTATTGTGCAAAATCAAACAAAACTCGTCGAATCGACTAAATTTTGAATGAAATTCTTGGACGGTCTAGTCTCTTCTATATTCCATAAGAAAAAATTATAAAAGAAATCTAAAGGTTTACTGTTATATATGTGGTATTGACAAATGAAATATTTTTTTATAGCGCCCTCTATCAGACACCTTTTTTCTATTCTGAAAACATGTAATGACGTTTGTTAGAAGTTCTGTACTGATAAAAAGATGAAATCATCGTGAGGAACAATACTTTTGTTTCAGATACTAGAAAGCTGAGTGCAGAACAAAAAACGTCGGTAAATCGCGGTTAACCGCCGGTAGTTTTGATAACCGAGATAAACCGCCGGTAAACCGCGATTAATCGCCGGTATTTTCAAAACCGCGGTAAACCGGCGGTATCTACATAAAAGTGGCGGCATGGGAATAACAAATTAATAATTTTTTTTAAATTCGTTTGTTGCCTTCAGGTTTATTTAAAGACTGATAATGATGGTTAGTTTTTACAAGAGTTTGAGTATAGATATCTGTGACAAGAAGATCCACATATCTGCATCCTCAAGTCATTGAACATCTCAAAAGTGTGTCTATGAGATGGCAAAGATTTGATTATTTCGGAAAAATATTTGTTTGTTTTGCAGATTTAATCCGATAAAAAAAAGTTTCTGGTTTCTCTAATATCATTGTTTGTTCAAATAGTTTCAAAGATCATTCATAAAACCCTCAAACAACCTTCAATTATCGAAACTATTTTTTGTAAACGCGTACACCAGGCAACTCAGACAACATGTTCAAATTATGAGTGCCACTTTATCTTTATTTTACTTTGAAAAAGTAAAATAAACATAAAGTACTATCCCTTATTACAGTTCGATAGGTTATTCAATACAGAAAACAGAAAAATATTGTTACGTGTACAAAAAACAACAACGCAAAACGATCTCATTCTTTACTCATCTTTCCATGCTGTGTATGATTGGATGCAGCCTTGCTGTTGTTAAGTTTATCTTTAATCATGCACAATTATCTATATATTTATCTAGAAATCCTAGTAATAAAATTATAGATCGGTAAGATAAATGGCAATCTCAAAATAGAATCACTGGTAAATGGTACCATCGGAGAACAGTATATAAAAACCAAAATTATCATGTTGAACGGCATGTCAATTGGTTAAATGTTGGTTCAATATCATATCTCGATGTTCTTGTCTATTTGACTACAGGCCATGAACTCGATTTACTTAAGAGATCACTTGCTCAGTTATTTCGTTTATTATCAAAAAATCTTTGACCTCTTGTCATTTTTCATGAAGATGATCGTACTCCATTAGGCTTTGAATAAATCAAATTTTCTGACAATGTGAATCGAACTCGGTTTGTTTATCGGTGGTGGTCATCTAAATATTTTGATATGTGTCGTTTATTTACTGTGACGCTTTCAAATCATTCTTCTTTTAACATATTATTTACATTCTATTGACGACTTGATGTATATTCTTCTATTTATTTGGACTAAAATCTATTGATAAGCCATTCGAAATAATTCAAAACCGACAAATTCAATATGCTTTTATTATGACTGATAAAGAAGTTCATCATTATGCTACTGGATTATAATCACTTTTTCATGATTTTCTCGATCATCATTGTTTGGCATGTTCATCAATAGGTTTCCGTTAAACACATAAAGATCGGTTCAGTAGTTTTTCACTTGCGATTATGTTCACAAATCTTATTATTGCTAAGGTTTCTCTGTTCCGTGATTATTCATTGATACGAACTGACTTCATATAGTTGATCGTACTGATAGTATTCATTGTTATCGATGGGATGTTTGATTGTTATTCATCAAATATCAACATGTATTGTTCGATTATTAGTTCATACGTCTATCTGAAAAATTATTTTTGTGACGAAAATCGAATTTTCTGAGCGAGGTGGAAAAGCACAGTGAGTTATATATCTATAGAGCACGCTGACATAGGTTATTTTACATCAAAAACGCATTTTTTCATAAAATTGTAATTTCCGCTGTTCAACAAAGAAAACTAAAATTCGTAAAAGAAGATTTCCAATTGAAATTGCATGACAAAACCATAACCCTAAACTTTTGCTTGAAAAAAATTTATTTTAAAAATTAACAAATGTCACATCACTTGATTTAGATTTCCGCGCTGATTCCAAATATGTCTTTATTTTTCTTTTAAAGTCCTTCGGAAACAAAACAAAATGGAAAACCTATATCGCAGTTCAAAAGCATTTATGCTAACTGAATAGAGGTGCCTCACAGAGAAAAACATTCTGTGAAAGTGTCATCATGTTTGGAACTGTGTTAAAGTGTGCGCACCGGCTCCATTGAACATATCTTTCTAGAAAATCTTTAGTTAAGAGAGCATACATACTTTTTTCCATAGGGAGATTGTCAGAACAAAATTTTTTTATAGAATGATGGAATATAGCTTTACAGTGTATTTCATAATTTTTTCTATTTTCTTTGAAGCAAGAAATTTAGTCAATATTCAGGCATAGGATTGTCCAAAACCTTTTAAGAAGTAGAGTAATTCTTTCTAAATCAAAAAGGAAGCCATTGACGAAAGCATATTCGACATTATTCAAATAAATTGACTTTTTACTTTAATTTTTTCACGAAATGTTCATGTTCTTGTGCATTGTTGAAAGGACACTTGGGTGGCCGAAATTTCGTCAAAAGCGAAAGGTCGGAAAGGTGTTGACGAAATGACGGTGAATTTTTGCATACTGTTACAAAACAATATTAATGTAAGATACACGTTAGGACAGAGGCCAATGTTGTCAGAATATACCTATCATAAATTACACTCATCAATTTAGTTGATAGGCATTTTTTCAATTCATATCTACTTCGCATCTATATTGACGAAAATCTTATTGACGAAATTCCTGAACCTAGATACTTAAATTCTTTCACCGTATAAAAAAATTTATGTAATATATTCTGCAAATAGTCAATGAAATATCTTGTACGAATTGCCATCCTTACTTCTATTTTCAAGTGTTATATCAGCGTTAAAATTGAGAATAATTTTTGATAGAAAGTACGACTGCTAGTGACCTCATACGAACAATAAACGTTTCGGCAAATGGCAAAAACCAATTTTAGATTTATTAAAA